ATAGCTCCCGTAAAAATCGGGCAGCCACCATGGGAAGTTCGCTAGGCAGTTGGAGGCATAACCGAAGCTCATCTTCAGCAGAGTTAGTCTTAGAAACCCTCCATAGGGTTATTCCGAGCCGAAGGGACTCGATGGCACTGGACATACATATATCTGTTTATGATTCAATAACAGCAACTGTGGAAGTAGTATTTACAATCCTATAGTTAATGTTTTCCGAAGTTATCTCTGCCAGTTATAGATTCTTTTCACTGAAAATTAAAATAATCAAACTCCAAAAAATTCTGCAAAATCTTTTCATTTCCTGAAATTACAACAGTTACATGGGATTTCTTCGACTCTTTCAAAGCCACACATGTTTGCACTTTGCCGTCTAATATACTAAGAACGACAACAATAAGGCCCGGAAAATGGGCGTGAACTTTATCCTCGGGCACAATTCCATGCTGTCACATGGGGGCAGCGTGGAGTCAACTGGACAACAATGGGTTGGGTTTCTGAGACTCACACCCCCACTGCTGCCCCCCCCCCACTCCCGCTCCCACTATGAAATACTTGATCCCTCCCCTCATTTAGCACCACCACATAAACAGTGATAATTCAGGTGTCCAACGACTCCACCCTCGAACTTTTCATGACGAACAGCACAGAGCAAGTCATGTGTCCTAGGCTCGCAGTGGATGCAAGCGCCGCTCCAGCGCAGACAATACCATGTAGTAATCGTGTTAGCGCATGAAAACATTCGTCCGTGTGGTTTCTGCACTGTATTTGCGTAAACTATCGTAACCATCGCTCCAAAGAAAGGCAGTGATAATAGCGGGTACACTAAAAGGAAACCGGCAAGAATCATGACAAAGAAATCACTGCAGAATCTGAATCAGGTTGCTGTCTGATTTGAGGTGGAATATAACATGGCTAGGTCGACATTATTAACGTTTGGGGGGTGGGGAGGGGGGACCCAGACCATCAAAGAGGTTGAAAAATTACTGTTAATTTGGCTAAATCAGAAACCAATAGTGTATCTGAGATGGTGATATGGGAGAAGGCTAAAAACCTCTATTGTAAATTTATTTACAATGTAAGTGTAATTTTGGGGCCACAGAACCAACTATTTGGTTTTCTATTATTTCTTAAAGGTAAATATGTTCAGTTCTCAAATTTTTCAATGTTCAAACATGAATTTGGAGCGAATTGAGTCCAACAGCGGAGGTATCACTGTACTTGTCTACACACAATACAGGTTCTGACAGCTTACGAGCTAGGGGCGCCATGACTGATGAGTATGCATGCGGCGGAGACCGTCCTGCAACGACTGCAGCAGCAGTCCATGGACAGGGTGCTGCCGGAGATTCAGGCCAATTCAGAGAGGACATGGAACAAGGGGAATCCCTGCTGATGTCAGATGGGTCTTGGCTAAAAGCAGGAATCCAGAATGATGTTTACTTGTGTTTTATGGACTGTGCCAAGGTATTTGGCGGTGTGGATCATAACATACTACGGACAGCACGAGAAGAATGGGAATTCCAGAACACTTCATGTGTTCATGCGGAGCGTACACACAGATCAAGAGGCAGTTGTGGGAACAGACAAGGGGATACTGCAAGGTTTACATTCAGAAACGGTCGGGGCAGTAGCCTCTCACCACTTATCCAATGTGCATGTGAAGCCAATTACCAGAGAAACTGCATTAGGTGAAGAAGACCAAGTCTCTCATTGAAAGAAGGCTTATCAACAACTTATGATGTGCAGGTGGCTGACCGAAAGTGAGGAGGACTTGGACAGTTGGGGTGCACAACTCAATTTTACCCAAACCCAGTTCTCAATTCAGTTCTCCATCCCACTTACCTACCAACTTGTCCATTGCAGATACTTATTTCATTGTATCCACTAGCCATGTACATCTCTTTTCCAGTTACAATTGAGTCCATAGAACCTGACCCATGAGTAGAACTATGTCCTCTGTGGTTTTCTATGGCTGTTCTCCTGTTGTGTGTTGAGGTAGTTATTGTGCCAATCTCGCTGATGAACACATGTGGGGTTAATTGAAGGGCAGACAGATAAATGGCTCAGTGAGCCTCCCTGTTCTAGTTCTCGGGTCTCTTGCTCTCTGATAGTCGGACCAGGGTGCAGCTGCCTTAGCCAGTTACCTGCTTCAGCTGGCAAGGCTCACTTCCTGCAAGACATCCCTGAGGAGAAGTCACATGGACCTACCCTGATGCAGGCCTGGGTGCTGGAGCAGCCATGTGGAGACCCCTGCCAGTGCTGAGATGCTTACACATTCACTGACTCAGCTTTCCTCCTGCAGTCGGCTTCATTGCATGTGTTTGTGAGATGGAGGAGGACTTTGTGAATTGGTGTCGGACATATGGGCTAATGTTGGACTTGTGGGCTTGGGCATCACTGGGTTGGGATGGTTCCTTGAAGTGCACTTACCCTTTATATAAAACTCTCTCTTATACATATGAATTTCTGTGGATCTGTTCTCTAAAGTACCCAGACTAACACGTGTGTTCATTCATCTTTTGCTAGACTGTAGGTGGAGTGATTTTTAAAAATTCGTATTCATGATGGCACAATGAAATGTACTAAGACACCTGTATTGCAATATAACAGTTCTTCAGTTGTTGAAGTATTTCACACAGCAGAGAAATATTCTATAGCCACAAACTATTTCCTCTTTCCAGCAAGCCTCCTTGAAAATGTGTCCCTGGATGCCAAGTGAAATTATATGAAAGTTTCTGTAGGTCCCCTAAACAAAAGGAGGTGGGGCAGTGATACACTATTATACTTTGTAGGCCAGAACCACATGGAGTCCCTGGGGGGTGGCAAAAGGCTAGCCTGCTGTGCTTCCAACCAAAAAGTTAGCTGTTGAAGTCCACCCAGGTACCTGGTGATCTACCTCTGAAAAAGCAGCCATTGGAAAACCCTACAGAGCAGTTCCACTCAGAGACACAAGGGATCAGCATGAGTTGGAACTGACTGCTAGGTGAATGGTTTAGGCCATTTACTACAGTTAATTAACCGTGGAAAGATTACGAAGCCCACCAAAGTCAACTTTAAGTCCAAGGCACTGCAACGCTACTGGGCAGAGTTGTGCTGCACCATCGGATTTCCAAGGCCACCATTCTTTTAAAAAGCAGAATGTCTTCTCTTAATTCTGAGCAGTGCTTGTGGGTTCAAGTCATCAACCGTCTGGTCGCAGCTTTAACCCGTGTCTGCGATGCTCCAGATCGTACTGAAATTTGTTCAAACACACACGTGCACCCAAGGGGGCTTCAAAAGTTACGGTGGAAAAAAAAATCTTTATCTTGTTATTAGGTGCCCGTGAGTCAGTTTGACTCCGAACGAGCCTATGCACAAATCAATGAAACACTGCCCAGCCTTGGGCATTGTGCAGCCACCATGTCAATCCCTGGTCAGGGCTCTTGCTCTTGTATACTGCTGCTCCACTTTACCAAGCACCATGTCCCCGGAAAAGGTTCCAGGGACTCGGCTCTCCCAATAACAATAACATGACCAATGTGAGATGAATATGAATGTGTGTATCCTAACGTTCTTTAACACCATAAGGGAGATCTACTTAATTTTCCAATTTTCAGAGTCTTAGTATTTTTCTCCGGTTAGCAGACATCAACTCTACTCAGCTGTTGTCAGGAATGACTCATGGGTTTTTTAATAATATGCCATGGTTTTCTTGGGTAGTATGTCTTACAGTGTAATCTCATCAAACACCTTTATCAAAACTCACCTCAGGGTGTTTGCAAAATGGAGAATCCTGGGCTCCAACAGAAAGAATCTTGAGGAGCTATAGGAAATGTCCATGTTTAAACTTGGGAGAGTGGGTGCAGAGTCTACTGTTCCATGGAGGACTGGATGAAACCCTATCCTGGTGACACCAAAATCAATTCTATCACGAAATCTTTGGAAACACCACTGTACTCAACCTTACAAATTGCGTGACTTTGTGAACCTCATTATTTATTTGTCTATTTATTTAATTCCAAAGCACTTCTGATGGTCGAGTTGGTTATGCTTTGGGCTGCCAACTGCACGGTCAACAGCTCAAAACGACCACATCTCAGGAGAAAGACTAGGCTTTCTACTCCCTCAAAGAGTTACAGTCTCTGAAGCCCACATGTGCAGTTCAACTCTGTCTAGGAGGGTTGCCTTAAGTAAAAATTGCAGTGAGCTTGTTAATTTTTTGATCCCTCGCCCCCGAGCACGAGGTAGCACAGAATATTAACACCTACTATACCTAGTTTAAAATAAACTCATTTTGTGGAGTTCCAGAAATGATAATTGACAGGTGATAAACAGGACACTTTATATATTCTTAAAAACGTTCCGTCTCGTGTAAGGAAAAATGATACCTTGCATGCTCATGTCCTTTGTCAACATCGTTAATGAACGACAATTTTCGACAGTAAATCTCTATGATCCCCCTCCTAACAAAAGGAATGTAACTTTCTGGGAGCTTCTGCGATGCCGCAGCCATTTACTAATGAAATCCCGTACAAGTCACACTTACAGCTACCCGACTGGCCAGGGACGGGGAAGAAATCTCCCAAAGCAGAGGGGCCTAGGAAATGCCTAAGAACGGCTACCCGTGGCTTTGGGTCCCACTCATCCTGGGCAGCTTCCTCCCCCTCCCCTAAGAGGTACTTGATGAGGCCAGAAGAATACGAAGCGTGACTACAGACGGGCTAGAGAGAGGTGCATGTAGGACCTTTCTCCGCCTCCCTCCCAAATAACCCACATCCTAAATCAAGGTCACGGGGAAGCCACTCAGACGAGGGGCCCATCAATGGAGTCAAGGTCTCCCACCTCCCAAGAGAGTCCTCTGCGGCGTGCACTGGGCCAGGCTCGCGGGACCCTCCCCGGGGGGGAACGCACAGAAGGGGAGCCCCGGAACCTCTACACCCAGCCTCGGGCCCTCGGTGGCTCCTACCCCTCCTGAGACTGCTCAGCTGCAGAGCCGCTGAGCGAGCCCCGCCACTCACCGTGCGTCCACTGCGTCCTGTGAAACCATCTCCAACCAGCCACGCGGCCGGCAGAGCCCCCGACAGCCCCCTTAACCAGCTGGGGACTTCGTGGGCCGCGGAAAAGCAAGAAATAGCGAAAGACACGGGGGTCACAGCCTAGCCTCCAGGAGGCCGCCATCTTCCCGGCCTTCGCGCGGGCTGCCCGCAGCACAGCCTGATGGTCCAGCCATCTAGGCCCGCCCAGGCCCCGCCCCCCACGGGGTTGACCACGCCCCGAAACTGCCAGCTGTGCCTTTAAGGCGAAGGCAAGAAGCCGTCTTAGCTCCGCCTCCTGCCCCGTTGACTCCACCCCCGCGCAGCCATTGGCGCCGCGGAATCACCCGGTAGAGGAGGCCCTTTTAGCCCCGCCTCCTGTCTTCTCCGCCCCGCCTCCAGGTGCCCTGAGCGCCGCCTGCTTGCACCAGAAGACTGCGAGGGAGCCCGGGCTGAGCGGCAACCGCAATCCCGGGCGACGATCGCCCATTGGGATGCCCTCGTCCTGACCATGTCTGAGTGTCAAGCTCCAGACGGCGACTGTAACTCCGGGCGATGCCTCCTTCAGGTAGGGGCGGGGCCGCCGAGTGTCCCGTGGGGCCTGACGCGTTGGGGCGCCGTGGGAGCTTGACCACAGACAGCCCTGTCACACGTGGTCCCCAGCCCGTGGAGCAGCGGCTGTGGCTTCCCTAGGATTGCTGAGATATACTACCTTAACTCATGGTGGCACCCCTTGCCCCACGGGCCTCCTCTTGTGCCCGATTGTGCAGCATCCTCAGGAATGTCTTTTATGCGTTATAACCATAGATAATATGTGGTTGGCAATTGTTTGAAATTACTTAAATATTTCTAAGATTATACGAATACTAACAACAAAGTTGGCGTGTAAAAGTTTTCTACACTTAATGACAACGTCATTACTCTCACTGCCATCGAGTGTATTCCGATTGATAGCGGCCGTACAGGACGCAGTAAAACAGCCCCTGAGGGTAACTGTTACGAGAGCAGAAAGTCCTATCTTTCTTTCGCAGAGCGACTAGTGGTTTCAAACTGCTGAGCTTGAGGTTAGCAGCCCAAAGCCTAACCACTAAGCCACCAGGGCTCCATACAACATTATGAGTTGTAACAATATGAGCAAAATGTAACAATATTTGCTTTTTTCTTCTCCTTTTCCTTTAATTAGGAGCCCTGGTGGTTTAGTGTTTTCCTGTTGGATGCAAGGTCAGCAGTTCGAAACCACTAGCCCCTTAGCACAAGACGACCTAGGCCAGAGGTTCTCAACCTGTGGGTTGTGACCCCTATGGGGGTCGAATGACCCTTTCACAGAGGTCACCTAAGACCTTTGGAAAACATATTTCCCATGGTCTTAGGAAAGAAGACACCGCTCCTCTATCGTCTCCAGGCGGGTCTGCCCACATGCAGATTCGCCCACCTACCAGCAACGGGCATGAAGACTGTTAACCATGCTACACCATGCTTCAAGGCAAAATTTCATTATTTGTAATTAAAAATAAATATTTCACAGTATATAATTGCATATTGTTTTTGTGATTAATCACTATGCTTTAATTATGTTCAATTTGTAACAATGAAAATACATCCTACATACCAGGTATTTACATTACGATTCATAACCATAGCAAAATGACAGTTTTGAAGTAGCAACGAGAATAATTTTTTTGGTTGGGGGCCATCACCACATGAGGAACTGTATGCAAGGGTCGTGGCATTAAGAAGGTTGAGAACCACTGAACTAGGCTTTCTACTCTTGTGAAGAGTTAGTTTCAGAAACCCGCAGGGACAGTTCCACCCTGTAGGGTCGCTATGAGTGAGAATGAACTCAATGGCAGTGACTCTGTTTTGGTTTAATTGGGAGAAACACTGGGCTTTCTACGCCTGTGAAGAGTCTTGGAATCTCACAGGGGCTGTTCTAACCTGTTTTATAGGGTCCGTAAGAGTGCATGACTGCATGGCAGTGAGTTCGGTTTTCTGTTTTTCCCTTTAAGTACTACTTATTTTGCCTCTAAGGAAATTTGCATCCTTGCCTCTAAGGAACATTCTGGCTGTATTTCTTCCAAGACAAAATGGTTTGTTCTTTTGGCAGTCTATGGTACTTTCAGTATTTGCCAACTCCATAGTTCAAATGCATTGATTTTTCTTCAGTCTTCCTTATTCACTGCCCAATTTTCACATGCATATGAGGTCACTGAAAATACCATGGCTTGGAGCCAAGCACGCCATAGTCCGCAAAGTAACATCCTTGCTTTCAACACTTTAAACAGGTCTTGCACAGCAGATTTATCCAATACCATGCGTGGTTTGAGCTCTTAACAACTGCTACCTTGAGCGTTGAGTATGGAGCCAAGCAAGATGAATTCCTTGATAACTTCAGTTCTGTTGATCATGGTCCAGTTATGAGGATTTTGATTTTCTTTACACTGCGTTGTCATCCAGACTGAAGTCTGCAATCCTTGATCTTCATGAGCAAGTGCTCCAAGTCCTCTTCATTTTCAGCAAGCAAAGTTGTGTCATCTACATATTGCAAATTGTTTATAAGCCTTCTTCCAATCCTCATACCCCATTCTTCTTTATATCATCCAGCCTTTCTGATAATTTGCTCAGCATACAAACTGAATAAGTATGGTGATAGGATACAACCCTGATGCACACCTTTCCTGATTTTAAACTATGCAGTATTTCACTATTCAATTTGCACACCTGCCTCTTGATCCATGCAGAGGTTCTACAGGGGGACAGAGAAATGTAGAATTCCCATTCTTCTCAATGCTATCCATGCTTTGTAGGATCCTCACAATCAAATGCCTGGTGTTCTCTCTTTTCAGCCAAGATCTATCTGACATCAGCAATGACATCCCTTCCTCCAGATCCCGTTCTGAATGAGGCCTGCCTCTCTGGCAGTTTCCTGCCAAAGTACTATTGCAACAGTTGTTGGATGATCTTCAGCAGAATTTTACCTGTTCTCTAATTGAGCATTTTGTTGGGTCACTTTTCTTTCTTTTTTTAAAAAATCATTTTATTAGGGGCTCATACAATTCTCATCACAATCCATACATACATCAATTGTGTAAAGCACATTGGTACATGCATTGCCCTCATCATTCTCAAAACATTTGCTCTCCACTTAAGCCCCTGGCATCAGCTCCTTATTTTTTCCCCTCCCTCCCCTCTCCCC